ATATATATATATATACACACACACACACACACACACACACATACACATATATATATATATATATGGAACTAAGGATTTGGAATTACCTTGAAGTTTTTCTAAGATTTTTAAACATGAAACATTTCTTATTATGATCAATGTTTAAAACAGTTGAGCTGCTTAATATTTTTGTGCAAACTGTGATTTTTTTTTAGGATTCTCTAATGATTGGAAGTATAGAATATAAATTCAAAAGAACAGTATTTATTTGAAATATAAATCTTTTGTAACATCATATACGTCTTTACTGCCACTTTTGATTAAAATAATACATCCTTATTACTTCCTACTTCTTACTGACCCCATACTTTTTTGAACAGTAGTGTAATGAAACTGTAACATGAATAAACATGGTGTATTATAAATGCAGCTACTCTGTTCTTCTGACTGACCTGCTCACTGACCACATTAATATTTCCTATGAATTTCTGCCTGATGATATCACAGCCAAACATCATAGCAAACTGAAGCACTAAAGAGAGAGAAAGAAAGAGAGACCAGAGGCTGCTACCCACAGACCCATGAGACACAGTCAAAAACAAAGAGGAACCCAGAGGGGCCGCCGACACTGAGCTCAAAATATTGAAAACACAAAGCCAGCAACATCCTCATACACAGCCGAAGACACTCACACATCTGCAGCAGCATACACTTCCCCTCACACACACGCATACACAGCTGCAGTGTCATTCGTCTGCCAGTCCCTCGCTGCATGGCGTCCTGGGCTGAAGGATGATTTATAGGGACTGACAGCGGCTTTGTGGAGTAGGCAAACCAACAGAGTCCGCCGTCCTTACTGACCCTATTCATCCTAGCAAACGCTAATGCAGACAGGGAAATAGAGGGATTGAGAGAGACGAGGAGGAGGAGAGAGAGAAACAGAGACGAGGCAAAATAAAAAAAGACCAAAGTTGACAAGGGTGTGAGGACTGACAAAGTAGGGTGAACTGATAGCTACAAATAAGATGGAAATGATTGCATGTCTTCAGCTCTTCCAAAACCTAGTGTGCTGCCTGCATAGACAGCTGCCTTCTAACCGTTAGATGAACTTGTCAGGTCTTGGAGCCTTTATAAATGGGCTGATTTAAAAAAATAAGGGGTAATGAAAATTCACCCTATTTATTTTTTGATCTTTTTGTGAAAGATTCAACTAGGCATGTTTAATTTAATTTAATGTCAAATTTATTTTTTGACCTCATAAACTTTAAAGGGGTCATATGATGTGATTTCAATTTTTCCTTTCTCTTTGGACGTCACACGATTGAGGTATTCTGCCAATCACAACGCACTGGATATCTGGCCAATCAGAGCACACCTCGCTTTTCAGAACGATGAGCTTTGTAAAAATCGATGCGTTTCAGAAAGGCGGGGCATAGAGGAGAAACAATAATGTACAGTATGTGGAAAATAATGTGTTTTTTGAACCTTAAACCGCAAACACATTTCATTACACCAAATACACAAAATAATGTTCTTTTTAGCAGCATCATATGACCCCTTTAATAAAAATATAACTCTGTCTTCTGGTGAAATGACAATCAACTGCAAACTCACATTCAGATCTGCTTCCATCCAATCATCTGACGGACAGAACCAAGTCCCAATTTTTTTTTAACATTTTTTCTTTTTTGATAATCTGTTTCACTCGGATGTATGTCAATACAGAAGAAAAGGACTTGCAAGATCTTTTTGGGTTACACTGCAACTATAACAATAAAATATATCAATATAAGAATAAAGGGAGACATCCAAAACGTGCAGTGCTGGTAAACTCCAGGACTTCATTGAGAACCACTGCTTGAAGGCAGCTTCCTAACGAAGCTGTAGCCTCATTAGTGACAGAGTCTACATCTACATTAAAGGGATAGTTCACTCAAAAACTGTTGTGAACGGGCGACCGACAGTCAGCGGAAGCTAGAGATTACGGTTTATAAAGTTTTAAATATGGACATTTTTCTTAAACAAATGCATCGCTTTGCTTCAGAAGGCCTTTATTAACCCCTCGGAGCCGTGTGGAGCACTTTTATGATGGATGGATGCACTTTATTGGACTTCAAAATCTCGACACCCATTCACTGCCATTATAAAGCTTGGAAGAGCCAGGACATTTTTTCCAAATACTTTTGAAAACACATTTTTCTCTGCTCTGTTTTGGCCTTCCGTCCACACTCAGACAGCATTGTTGTCCTTTAAAAACAGCGCTTTTTGAAAACGGTTTCCCTAGTAGATACATTTGAAAATGTTTTCATGTTAGAGTGTGAAACAGAGGCATTAAAAATGATGCATATTTAGTGATGTACTGATAAATATCAATGTTTATACCAGTATTATGCCTGTTATGAGATATTCACTTTCACGCTGTTCCAGCTGTATCATCTCAGTGAGCTTTTAGGAGGTTTTACACGTGTGCAGTAAGGTGAATTTAGCGTTTCCTGATGTTTCAGTGTGAATGAGAAACTTTTGGAAAACGCTTGAAAATGCTAGTGTGAACATTTCCAAATGTATCTTGATTAATGTAAATGTAGCTTGATTTGAAACTCTGCGTGCCGCATAAAAATTGTGAATAGTAGGGAATGCTACGGTAGACGTATTTGTACTGAACATTTTCTGTTCGGGTCTTTTGGTTTGGCACACGAGTATCAAACAAATGCAGTATCGTTTTAATTATATGTGCGGAACTTCTGTGTGTGCAAAACTTTTGTGAACGCATCTGAAAATTAGAGGACAGTAAGCTGTAGTAGTAAGTTGCTGTGGGAGAAGTGCATTATCCGAGATGTCCTAAACATGAGACATGCTTTATGTTAAGCGCTTCAAACTAACTCAGCATGCAGTTTAAAGTGGCTTGCCTTCCGGGTCAGATGCGTGTATTGTTTACTGCATTTGAGTCATGTTTTCTTCAGCGCATAACTAAAACACAGTATCTGTGATATTTTACTTTTGTTTGAGTGTTCATCTGTAATATTTTAGGTGGTTTTGATGATGTGGGGATGCAGGAAGCCTTTTCTTCTGTGCAGAGAGCGACAAAGAACAGAAGCACAAAGAGAAATGAAGAGATGCAGAAGGGATAGCAAATTATGACGACAAAAGAGGAAGGACGAATGATCTTAGGTCGTGCCGTCATGCTCAGAGCAGAATATCACTTTTAGCAGCACCAGCTGTTGGGTGTGAGGCAGAGACAAGAAGAGACAGAGAGACAGAGGGGTTTTTAAAGGTCATATCTTACCAGGCAAACACAGAAAGAAACCGGGCAATCACTAAATTACTGATGAATAAGTGCAGGGGGTAATTTGGGAGAGGGCCACCCTTGTCACGTCATTCTAACTAAATGTAGTGCTGCAAAAATGAGAGCTTGTGTGACATTGTAGGGCACAGAGATTCACAGCTGTCTGAAATGAATAATGCATAACCCTAAAAACATAACAAATGTGCAAAATAAATAATATTTATATCTTTCTACCCAGTAAATAGAAGACATTTGAAATAAATGAGTCACTTTTTTTCAGCAAGGTATGGAAGCCCGTTTCCACCATTTAATAAAAATAAATAAAAAAAGGAAATTGCTACTTTATCTCACAATTCTGCCTTTTTTCCCCCTCAGAATTGCGTGATATAAACTTGAGTCATAAAGTCAGAATTATGAGTTTGTATCTTGCAATTCTGACTTTTTTTCTCGCAATTGCGAGTTTATATCACACAATTCTGAGAAAAATGTCAGCATTTTTTATTCAGTGGCAGAAACAGGCTTCCATAGCAAGGAATTGATCAAAATTGACAGTAAAGGTATTTATACAATTAGAAAAAGATTCCTATGTCTAATAAATTCTGTTACTTTCAACTTTTTATTCATCAAAAAAAAAAAAAAATCCAAATTCTTCAAAGAATCTGAATTCAAAGAAAAAAAAAGTATCACGATTTCCACAAATATATAAAGCAGCACAACCGTTTTCAGAAATCAGAAATGTTTCTTGATCACCAAATCAGCATATTATAATGATTTCTGAGGGATCATGTGACACTGAAGACTGGAGTAATGATGCTGAAAATTCAGCTTTGATCACAGCAATAAATTACATTTTAAACTCTATTACAATAGAAAACAGTTATTTTAAATTGTAATCATTTTACAATACTACTGTTTTTACTGTATTTTCGATAAAAAAAAATGCAGCCTTGGTGAGCAAAAGAGACCTATTTCAAAAACATTAAACAACAATGATTCCATTTTTTTTTTTGCATTAATCAATATAAATTATGCATCTTGAATAATAAATACAAGAGTGTCACATGGCTGCCCGCTGGTATAGTGGTGTGAATGTTGCCACCAAGTGATAAAGGTCAAATGTCAGTGAACGTATATCAGGCTCGAGGCACATGACAAGCCGATGGTGTAAGAGAGATATGAGCGTGTATGTGTATCTGAGATGCTCAAGTAGTTTGATCCTCATTGTGCTGGTTCAGCAGAGCTCCCTAAACCTGCAGACCTCCCACAATGCTGTGTGCTGGCCAACCCCCAACCACAGGGGGTTTGTTAGCGGCACCCTCCGCTCCTGTAATCCCCATCACCCTGCTAAAGCCTCCTACCTCAGGAAACCCCAAAACCAACACCATACTCCCCAGACGGGAAAATCCCTCTAATGCCAGCCAACAGATGGCGAGAGTGCCAAATCAAAACGACAGCAGGGGCCATCTTCCTCTCAACAAGGACATGCTACTCACTAAGTAAGCTAACCGAGTAGTGATAAACCAACACACTGACTGGATGCTTCGAATAATCTCACATCCTAATCAGAACTGACAATCTCTTTAGTTACCTTAAATATAGAGTTCACTGAAAAATAATAAAAATGTCACTCCAAACCTGTATGAAAACGGTCTCTTTCATTGTCCATACATTGAACCTCATTGCTCAACCTTCTTGTTTTCCACAATATAGAAAGTTACAGGTTTGGAACGACATGAAGGTGATTAAATAATGACACAATTTACATTTTTGGGTGTAGTATCTCTTTAATCAGGCCTTATGCTAACTGTTAGCATGTCCGAATAGCCTTTAGCTAACATACTGTTGTAGGTCTGTTTGTTGTTTGCAGTCTGTTGGCCATTACTGTAGTGGAGTTAAGTTCGCCTCTAATAGGTTTCTCATTATTAGCATTGGCCATCTCAAAGAGGAAGTTAATGATTAGGGTTAATGATCAGTAGCACTATTAAGTGACACTGCAAACAGACCCACAATGGGTACAAGACACCTGTTCAAAACAAAAAGCTAACCATCTGACAGTGAGTTTAAATAGAGACCCCCACAGGTATAGACAAGACCCTTTAACTTTAGGATAAAAAACACATTCAAGCTGTCTACAAAATATGGCACTCACTGCTGTTCTAAACACTAGACCTCACTGTACACACAGAGATTGGTTATTTATTTACAAGAGTTACAACTCGCAAAATTTCAAAATCCCTGGTAGCCCTTCGGGCAGGTACTCTTCAGATTTTGGTAGCCCGAAAATTAATTTAACTACAATTTAAAATAATTGTTTGGTATTTGAATGTATTTTAAAATGTAATTTATCCCTGTGATGCAAAGATGAATTTTTAGCATCATTACTCCAGTCTTCAGTGTCACATTTCTGATTATTATCAATCAAAACGATTGTGCTACTTCATATTATTGTGGAACGTGATACATATATATTTTTTTCAGGATTTTTTAAATACTCCAATGAATAGAAAATAAAAAAGCATTTATTTATATTAGGAATCTTTATAGCATTATAAATGTCTTTATTGATCAATTTAATGTATCCTTGCTGAATAAAAGTAAACATTTCTTTAAAAGACTCTTACTGATCCCAGACTTTTGAACAGTAGTGTATTCATTATTGTTACTGTTATTATTATTATTAATAACAATAAAAAATATATATTTCCCATAGAAATTTGTGAAGAAATTTTTTTCACCTCGTTCTATCCAATGACAGTTGTCAAGCTCTAAACAGCACAAAAAAGTACCGTAAAAGTCATAATCATAAATTTAGCCCATATTACTAATAATAATATTTTTCACAATATTAACATTTTACTGTATTTGAACTATTTTACGTTGTTGAGTCAACAACAACCTACCTTTCAAACAGTAACTGACAATTAAAATTGAGCATCTTAGGGAAAATATGCATGTTAAACCATAAATGCAATATTATGTTTTCCATAGAAATTTGTGAAGAAATTTACCATGGTCCAAAAAGTTTTTTTTAGGTACCATAAGTCATAATCATAAATGTAGCCCTTATGACTTAAAATTAGGGCTGCACGATTATGACAAAATTAATAATTGTCGATTATTCTTTTGAAATTGTAATTGCGATTATTAATTACGATTATCACAATTTACATTGAATGATGTTAAACCACTGTTTGAAGCAACTGCACGCCGTATTTTTATATGAAAATAAACAAGCTGAAAACACTAACTGAAAAACTTCTATTGCTTTTCTAATAAGCCTCAAATGTCAACTATACATTGGATTGGTTTCTTCTTTAAATAATAAAAAAGTAAAAATATGCATGGTATTATATCAATTAAAACAATGGGACAACCCTTAAGATAACCTGTAGAAAGAAAACAAAAAACACAAGCACTCAGAATAACACAAGTGGACTTTGAACGATTATGTAATAGCGGCATTAATTGTAATTGTCCATAATTGTAATCGCGATTAGAAATTCGATTAACTGTGCAGCCCTTAAGATCTACCTTTGTGTAGAAAAAACTATGGGTTTGGTATAACATGAGGGCGAGTAAACAATGATACATTTTTTAAAGAACTATTACTTTGAAATATATGCATAATATGATTCAGATGTTGGGGAGTATGTGTGGGTGGAATAGGGAACAAGAAAGATAGACAAAGAGAGACAAAGAAAGAGAGAGATGAGGGTTTGTTTTGCATAACACCTGGCTGCTTAGCAGACTTGAGGCAGGTGGTGACCTAACTGACAGACAAACAGGTCAAACAGGATAGGGAAGAGAGACAGAGAGTCGAGAAAGTTAAAGAAAGAGAAACACTGTCAGAAAGGAACCAAGAGGGATATACAGAAAGAGGAAGAGAGTAAAAAGAGAGAAACTGAGACCGAGTGACGGTGTGAGAGAGAATTTGGGAAGGAGGCAGAGAGATGAAAATAAACCGCAGACGGTACTGTAAACACGTGACAAAAAAGAGTGAGGAAGAGCTGCACTAATGTTCACGGCTCGTGTCCTCAGATCTGAGTGAGACGGGATGTGAGAGGAGAGGATTGTTAAGAATAACTGACAGTTTTAGGCTAAATGAAACTGCAGTTTTGACAGGACTGTTTCTGAGGGGTCGTGCTAGGATTTCATGTTATTCCCTCACCCCTGACATTAGCAGAATGAGAAGAGATGCTTACCCATACTGCCTCTGGATCAGGGCTGGATGAACCTGCTGTACTCCAGTCGAGTATCCTGTGACAACACGAGGAAAACAAGAGATTGACATCTGCTTCTGAGAGTTCACCCAGAAATGAGGGTGAGCAAATGATGACAGTTTCATTAGGTTCCAAACCTGCCCGACTTTCTTTATCCGTGGAGCCCAAAAGAAGATATTTTGAAAAATGTCTTGTGAAAAGTCATGTTTTGGATGCCATCGGCTTTTTAGTAAAGCTACAGTTCATAGTTTGTCAAGCTTTCTTCAAGCCGCAGGCCAAATATGGCACTTAAATTTGGTGTTTATAATTTGTTAAAAAAAAAAAAAAAAAAAAAAAAAAAAAGTTTTTTTTTTTTTTTTTGGGGT